TAGTTGTTACGTTCTTTATTCTCCTTCACTTTCTAGTAGTTTCTCAGTTGTTCCTGAACTTAATTTTGAAGATTCCATACCAGTTATTTTGTGGACTGTGTTTTAAATTTGGGTTTTCTGATACTTCCTTGAGATAAGTGTGCAAGGATGCAATTTTGGTTGGAAAATCATAGAACTGATGCCCCATTATTAGTATGTTGCTAAGGTAAGGTATGCTACAATTCTCAAGATAAAAGGACTCATTTTTATCTTTGTAATTAATAACTTCTGTATGGTGATATTTTCAGACTATTTTTATCTTATTTTTCACCACATCTTCAATTTATGAATTATTTATACCAGCATGTTATTCTATTTTAGTGAGTTGGTCAAAATCTGTTGCTATCATTATTTTGATGTTCTTATTATTCAAAATTTGACCTTCTGACATGTTCCACCATTCTTCGAGTATTTCCTTATTTTCTGGCACATGATGTTCCAGGTTCATCTTGTGCTTTTCTTGCCTCAGTTAATAGCAAGTATCGTTTTAGTGGGGAAGGGAATTTTAATAAGCAAGTTTTAAGATCTGGTTACTACCCAGTGCTCTCTCCCATTAAGGAGATTCTGTCTCCTAAAGACCATATGCTGTTGTTGTGTGAAATCTAGCTGGGACCAACTCACAGCTGCCCCTCCTGTGGGTTTTCAGAAGCAGTAAATCACATGTGTGGATACTGCCACTCCTTCTCCACAAACAGCCAGTATGTTTTAATCCAGTGCCTTTGGCATTGCCTCAATAGGGCTCCCAAGGCTGTAGTTTTAAAGGAAGCAGACTGGCATATCTTTCATGGACTGGCTGGTGGGTTTGAACTGCCAACTTTTCAGCCAGCAGCCACGCAATTATCTACTATGCTACCAGGGCTACTTTGACTTAGTATTAAGAGCTTTCATTACTACTGGGGTGTTGTTGCTTCCCAGGCCTTCTCAGATTTCAAAGGATAGCCTAAGAGGACAAAAGATTACAATGATAAATGTGCAAACACCTGGAGCTAGAAAATAAAAAGGAAAAAACATGCAAGGGATTGCTCAAGCTGAAAGAAATGAAAAATAAAAATTCAACACTTGAGTTGCAATACTGAAGGACTGATCAGGTAAAATATTAAGGAGTACAGAGAATCAATGTACCAAAAAGAGTCAGTAGATGGTCAATCATGTCATGAGGATGTATATGATCAAGAACCAACAGAGTGAAGAAGCCTAAGCTACACTGAAACCAAGGCTCCAGGGACGGAGAGAATACCAACTCAGGTGTTTTAACACAGGCAGCCCTGGACATGCTCATTCATCTACACCAAGAAACCTGGAAAAAAATTATGTAGCTATCTGAAGCTTTGATGGCCTAGTGTAAGCAGCTGCACTGTAATCTCAGAGATACAAATGGTTCAAATCCATCAGCTGCTCTGTGGGAGATGGATAATCTCTTCCAGTACAATTTATTGCCTCTGAAAACCTGCTGGAGGGTCAGCTATGAGTTGATTCTGACTCAAAGACATAAAACTAGAAGTTATCTGGATGGAAGGGAAACAAACTTGTGCCATTCCATAAAAGGTGACCCCAAAGGATGTGGAAATTATTGAAAAATACTGTGTGCAAATAAAATCTTTCTTAAGCTTATTAAAAAAATGGCTAGGGAAACCTAGAAAACTAGAAATTCAAGCTGGATTCAGAAGAGGCAGTGGAATAAGTACCATCACTGTTGATGTCAGACGGATCTGGGTTTAAAGCAGAGAATACTAGTAAGATATTTAAGTTTTACTGACTAAGCAAAGGCATTTGATTGTGAGGATCACAATAAATAATGGCTAATGTTGGGACGGCGCAGGAGGGGAAGACCCTCTATGAGATGGATTGATTCGGTGACTGGGGTAATTGGGATGGGTGTGTCAGAGGCAGTGCGGTTGGCGCAGGACAGAGCAGGGTTTAGGGCTGTTGTACATAGGGTCACTATGAGTCGCAAATGACTCGACGGCACATAACAACAACAACAACAACAACAACAACAATAATGTTGCAAAGAAATGGAATCCCAGAACATGTAATTGTGCTCCTTTTGAAATTATATACAAGCAGTTGGATGTCTGAACAGAACAACAGGACACTGTGTGGCTTAACACCAAGAAAGGTGTGTTAGTATTCACCATTGCAAGAACATGGAAATAGCCAACCGTCCTACAACAATCAAATGGATTGAGAAATTATGGTACATTCCCATGATGGAACACTACGCAACACACAGGAGCAATGATTTTGTAAATTACTACCTAACTTGGGAGGGACTGGAGAATATTATGCTAAGTGAACTAACTCAGTCCCATAAGAACAAATATATAAAACCATTATTGTAGAACGTGTATGAAGATCCACGGGATATGGGAGCAGAGGGCTGAGGATGGGGGTCGTTAATCATAGGGTTGCACAAATTGATGGAGGGAGGGAGGATGTGTGTGAAGGAAATGGGAATGATCTGGTGATAACAATGTGAAAAACAATTTATTTGAACTTTGTAAATAAATTAGTATAAATTTTTTTAAAAAAACAAAAAAATCAGGAAAAAACGAGTGTTAGGGTTGTTATCTTTTCACCATACTTTTCAATCTCCATGTTACTCAAATAACCTGTGAAATCATATGAAGAACGAAGCACTTATTTACAAAGGAAGACTCATGAACAAACTGTGATATGCAGAAGATAAAAACGTGCTTGGAGAAAACAAAGAAGACCTGAAAGACTTATGGATGAAGCTCGAAGATTATGGAGTTCAGTATGGATCACAACTCAACATAAAGAAAGCAAAAATGCTTACCACTGGGAAAAGAGGCAATATTATGATACATGGAAAAAGACTGAAATTATCCATGATTTCATTTTCTTCAATCCATAATCAACATCCACAAAAGCTGTCGTCAATAAATCAAATGATGTATTGAAAAGGGGAAATATGGAGCCTAGGACTTAAAGTCCTAAAAAGCAAGGGTGATACTTCAAGGACTAAGGTGTGTTTGATCCAACCCAGGATATTTTCAATTGCTTCATTTACATGTGGAAGTTGGGCAATAAATAAGGAAGACTAAAGATCTGTTGCCTTTGAAATAGGGTGTTGTAAAAAAAATATTGCCTATACCAGCAAATGCCAAAAGGATATTTTGTCTTTGAAGAAAGTGCTAGTGTTCTTTGGAGGCAAGGATGGTTAAACTTTGTCTTACATCACTCTAGCCGTGTAAATCAGAAGAGTCCCTAGAAATACTGTTTAGAAAATTAGGTCAGCAGAGAGGAAGACCTTCATCAATATTGACTAATACTATGACAGCATGGATGAGTATGTGCAGAGGAGATTGTGAGGACTAGGAAGGGCTGGACAGAGTTCCCTGGTCTGTTATACACAGAGAGGCTATGAGGTGGAGTTGGCTTGACGGCACCTAACAACAGAGGTAGAGTTCAGGAGGTCTCTTAGTTTCCAAGATGAACATATCCCGAGAGGTGGAGACTAGAAGAGGTCACATGGGTACGTGGTGCAGTAGTTATTTATCAACCAATGTTGTACTGTTGTGTACCACAGAGTCAGAACGGGCCCAGAGCCGACCATTTGGCAGGTTATCAGGAGACTGCTCATCCTCCTGTGGAGCAGCTGGTGGCCCTGAACTGTGTACCCTCAGGAGCACAGCTTCTTGCCACTAGACTACGAGAGCTCCCTAGATATGCCAATGTTTCAATGATTTATACAATCATACTTGTGTACTTGTGTGTACGAGCTAAAAAATTAGTCCTGTTTCTCTTCTAGCAGAGTTTTGGGTTCTAATTAAATAATCAAAATAAAAGAAAAATTAAGAGCTTTACGAAATGATAAAGTCCCCATAGTGAGGTTAGTACAGGACAGGGTAAGGTTCTAATCTCTTGTTCACAGGGTGACTATGAGCTGTACTTGAATGGATGGCCCCTAACAACAACAAAAACTATACTATTCTATATTTATCCTTAACTCTTTTTCAAACTTTATCTATAAAACAGAGGAAATAGTTTTTGCTATATCAAAAACTCATTTAAAGAAGAACATGGTGCAAATGTTTTCTGAGATAAAACAAAACAAAACAAAACAACACTCCATTGGTAGGGATGGACGAGAAACACCAGAATGTTAAAAAACAAGGAGGAGTATTTAGGAAAATACATAAATTTAATAATAGCTTAAAAATAAATCTTTACTAGTGATCAGGAGAACATAAAGAATAAGATCAATTTTTTACATATACATACATAAAGCAAGATACATCTTATGTTGGGCTTGTTGTGTGTTACCAGTCAAAGTGGTTCTATGTCTTGAAGTCCTTTCTCTCTGAGTTAGTTCAAACTAATAGCAACCATCACTGAGTTCTAAAGGCTGTGCATAACAATGGGAGAAGACTGCTTATCTTTTTCTCATGTAGTAGCTGGTAGGTCCAAATCACCAGAGACTTTCGGACTTTAGGCTAACAGGGCAACTTCCTAGAGACTACCAGAGACTGTGCTGCTGTGGTGTACTGTGGAGTGGGCACTGTCCCAGATCTAACTCTCCAGTGGATTTTCAGAGGCAATTCATCATACAGGAGGAAACTGTCCATCTTTTCCCCAAGAAGCAGCTGGTGGATATGAACCATGTACCTTTGGGTTGGCAGAGCAATTCCTTGCTGCTGAGTCACCAGAGATTTGACATATACAATTCTATTTTTACCCCAAAGATTGTAAATAAATTTGATTTGGCAGAAATTTAAATTGCTAATAGAACACACATTCAAAAGAAAATAGGGTCAAGCTGTAGTGTTACATTGATTCATACATAATCCTTATGCCACCTAAAAATCTACCTTGTATTATATTAAATAAACCCTAGCTCAAAATGTGCATGGAAAGTATAATTCTTCAGGATATATACAAGTAATCTGAAAAGCTATCTACCCAGCATTTTAACATTTCCCAAGTATCATTCTTACCTGGAAATTAGACTGAAATACACAGCAGTCAACAGTTTTATAATGTCCCTTAAGCATAGTTATCTGTTCTCCTGAGTAAACTGTATAAACAGCAATAGTGCTACCATATGGTACAAAAACAAATTCTGAACTGCAGCCACAGGAGACGGTGAATTTCAATCCTTTTTTACTATTGTTACAAACTTTTCCATAGTTCACCTGTAGGATGTAAAATCATAGTTACTTATTTCTTACATATTAATTAAAAAAATTCAGAAATATTTAAATACATAATTATATAAATGGCTTTTTTAAAGAAAATTATCAATGTCTTAGTAAAAATATGACAATATTATAAATGCACATTTCACAGAAGTATTAAGAAAACAACAGAGCAAAAGTTCACATTTTTTTCTAAATTTTTATTTTATTATTTTTGTGTGCGTGTACCGTCAAATCAGATCTGACTGCTACAGGAGGAGATTGCTCCTCCTTCCCCGGCAGAGCATCTGGTAAAAGTTCACATTTTGTACCTTGATAGAAATAAAAATGTAAATTAAGTCAACTTTAAAAATTCCTTTTAGACTTTATTCTTAGTTAGGAAAACATTTAAGACATGACCTGACATTCAATATTGTCATGAATGGGGTAAACACCTTGTGGTCATTCCTTCTAAAAGTTCAAATGGTATTATACAGCAAAAGGCACTCTCCCCCATTAACCTAATTACTCATGAGATTTTATCTTCAAATAATAACAGCAAAAAGCTACATACCCAGAGGAATTCAATGAGACATAATTTAGAATGGCAAAATAACAGAGAACAGCTATAAACCCTTAATACTACAGGCCAAGAAAAACAACATTTGTGAAAATCCTAACAGGGACAAAAGTAAACGTCAAAAATGTAGAACACAAAAAGTATGCAAAAATACGTATTTGGAAAAAAAGAAGCAGTAAAGAACAAAAAGTACAGTCTGGAGATGTAGTCTATAATCACCTGGGACTGTGAATAACACAGCACAAGTCCCACCCTCCCTAATCCTATCTAACTACATCTTAACAAGACCCCTAGGTGATCTGCATTCTAGTCAGAATCTGTGAAGCACTGAGTGAGAGAGACTACTGGACAGTATTACATCCAGCGGGTTAATTCTGATAGAAGCTTGGGCCAGTGTGAAACCAGCAGTAACCATTTGGGAATTAGGAACATGAACACCACCATGTAAAGCTAATGTTTATAGTGATATGCTATATTCTTCAGTTTTGGTGTGTGTACTGTTGTTGTTATGTGCCGTCGAGTCTGTTGCGACTCATAGGGACCCTATGTACAACAGCTGTAAACCCTGCTCCGTCCTGTGCCAATTACACTGTCTCTGACACACCCATCCTAATTACCCCAGTCACTCAATCAAACCACCTCATACAGGGCCTTCCCCTCCTGCGCTGTCCCTCCACCCTCCCAAGCATGTCCCTCTCCAAGGACCTGTCCCTCCTTAAAACATGCCCAAAGTATATCAGACGAAGCCTCAGACTCCTCGCCTCCAAGGAGCTGCAGGGTTTAACCCTCTCCAGGATGAACCTGTTTGTTTTCCTAGCAGTCCATGGCACATTCAATACTCTTCTCCAGCATGACAGCTCAAAGGCATCAATTCTTCTTCTATCCTCCCTAGTAGTCATTGTCCAACTCTCTGATGCATAACAAGTGATTGCAAACACCATGGCCTGTATCAGATGCATTTTAGTCTCCAGAGAGACATCATTGCTCTTCAGTACTTTGGAGAGGTC